ATAAAAATAAAGAAATTGTTGCTATTACAAGCTTAATATGTACTTAATAAATTACAAATATATAAATATAATACATGTATTTATATGCGTGCGTGCGTGTGCGCATATGTGAGCTTTTACCTGACAAAACATGATTGCACATTGCAACATCAAAGAAAAACATTTATATTTTTTGAACATTTTTATAATTTCTCTCTTTCTCTCTCTCATTTTTTAATATTATTTTATTGCATATTAGAAAAGAAATATTTCAAGTCCAATCAATGTATTTTATATTCAGTTAATAATTAAGTTAACTTAATGTTTAGTTAATATTTTTAATATAATATAATATCATTGAAATAAATTAATAATACATACTTTTCAATAAAGAAAAAGATAAGAAATTTTTCAAATATATTTCAGTTTTGCAATATTTTTTATCGGTGCAGTCGATATATATACTCGCATTCTTAAATTCATAAAGTTTCTATATACATAGATTATACATAGACGCAGTTTTTCTCTTGACAAATTACATTAATTATATACATTACAATTAATACAATTTGATAAGCACCCTTTCGCATATAATTTAAATCAACATTTAAATCAAATCGCATCCACGTTTTTTAGATATCGGACGCTAAGAATTTCGACAATATTTTACTACAACTTCATGGATATGGTTGCCCATTGATAATTATAATAATCAACGATAATATATTGACCGGGCAATTTCTGCTGCGGTCATATTTTACCTTTATCAGTTTTATATCCATAATTTATCATTTCTAAAATAAAAAAATACAGATTTTTATCGATTTTAAAAGCAAGTAAATCGCTAGTATATATATTTATGTATAATTACCGACGAAAGCAGGTTCACACGAAAGCATATTCTCCCAGAAGTGCATCCCAAATGGTTCTTCGGGCATATCTAGTTCGCCTCCGTGCTTTTTAAGCAATACTCTCTTTTCTGCGAAAGTCGTTAAAGAATCCCAATTCGTTCCATGGAAATGAATTCGTTTGCGAATTTTCTCCTAAAATAAAAGGTATTACCTCATAAAAGAAATATAAGAGTTTATCTCATATAAGAAATTTCAAAATTAATTAATTTATTATATAAGACTTGTAAAAGCAAATCATGGATAGTAGGGTCATACCTCCAGAAATGGTTTAAATATTGCAAATGCCATGTTGAAGATAAACGACTGGTTAACAATGTGAATACCTTTGAGTCGAGTCGGCAAACACTTTTGTACAAAATCCACAACCATTTTTGCGAAACTAGGTGTAATATACGTCAAATGACTTAAAGATAAACCATCAGCGTCCATGATAATGTGTGTACCCGCAATCTAAAAAAGAAGAACTTTATTAAAAGTTACAGAATAAAATTTTGTAGCTTTGGACGTTCATTCTCTGGTAAAATTTATGACTGATATTAAATGTCTATTTATAAGTTCTAATCTACATTAAATTAACTAAGACGAACCTGAGTTCTGTATTCCGTCATTGCCAGATACAAAATGATCATTAGGCCTTTAAAAAAATCGTCTATTGATACTTCCTTTGGTTTCCATCGTTTTCCGACTTCTATAATCATCAATCTGCATCCTTCTTTAGTTCGAAGAGGCAAGGGATATATCAAACCAGCGCAAAGTGCAGTCCTCTCTTTGGTAATCAATAAATTGTCAAATATGTGTGGATAATGCTGACGAAATCGATAGTATCGTTTTAACTGTTGAATAAAATATATATTTAAGCAATTTATTAGTACTATGAAATATTAAATACAGAGTACTTTAGAATCAATTGTAATTCCTTCTTTGCAAAAATATTGAGGAAGATTATTATTTACTACATCTCAATTTTTAATAAATTATTGTAAAAAAAACTTCAAATTAATTTTCAAATACAAATTTTTATTGCTTGTTACAATACATTACAATACACGTTACATTAATTGAAAGTAATTTTTTATTATCTTTTCTCTTCTGAAATTATCTGTCTCAATATTTAAGGAAAAAACAACAGCCACATTAATTATATAATAAAATAATAATAGAATAATAGAATAATGTATAAAATATCTAATGAGATTTTAAATAGTAATTCTACACATTTAGATACTACATAATCTTTTTATTTAAAAAGTAAATGTTTAAAACAAGATTAATATTTTTAATATTTTTAATATTAAATATTTGGGTAAAATATATTTACTTACAAGCGAGAAAGCACTTTTTCGCATACCATTTGCATGGTCTTAGGAATATTACATAAAAGTCAACATCATCCGGAATATGCAGGTCAGGCTCCCCTAAAAAAAAAAAAGAGAAAAAAAATAGAGTTAATTTAATAACAAAATCGATAAGTCTAACAGTTTTGATAGTTCCATAATACGCCCCCAGGATAATTCGCGTATAATTTATTTTACGAATGAAATCAACGAATGAGCGAGTCACGAAGATAATAAAGACTATAAGTCACATAAAATATGTATCTTGCATTTTTTTCACGATATCACGAGGCAAATTACAAGCGTTAATAGATATAGTTCGCAAGCTTTAAATATTCCTTTCTTCGCTTTTCTTCTAGGCATAATCCTAAAGATTTAAAACATTGGCACTGATGATAGCACAGAATGTAATAAATACTAAAATATAAGACTCAATCGAAAATTGTCAATCATAATTTTAACAATAATTGCTCAAGAGCGAATATAAAGAACGAAAACAATAGGCATTAATGATGTTATAAATTTCATGTGTTAAAAGTAATTCATTCCATCCAAATATAATCTAAAAAAATTTTTTTTAAGTTCTATTAATAGATAATAACCGTCGATTATTTTAAAAAAATTTCAAGTTTATATTTACTTTGTTACAAATAGAATAATTTGGAATAAATAGAATAAATAGAATAAATGGAATAATTTTCATTTTGTACGAAGGTAAAAAGCGTGACTTCGTTGAAGATTATCGTGGGTCAGGCGCGAACAACTTTCGTTTTCACTCTACATGAATTTTTCTGCCATATTCGTGTACCACGGTTAAATTTAAATTGACCGTTGCGATAGAACTTGAATAGTAATCTCACGCAAAATTTCATTCTTATTCTGGAAACACAACTCAAACACTAATATGCTTCGGGCAGAAAAATTAATTGATAGTTATTTTACGGGATTTATAGGATAGGAAAAAATTGATTGGTCGCTATTTTACAAGCCGCGTAATTTTTTTCGATGATACAGAACCAGTTTATCTAATTGAACAAATACATCTCACTAAAACTCACTGCAACTGTGTGTTTTCATTAGCAATTACGTAAAAGGGAAAGTTTTCTTGTTTCACTTGTCATCGCGCCTCCTTGCACGGATTAATTTTGATTTTCTCTTTGATTTTTGCAATCATGAAACCCAGTAACGCAATTTGTTCTAATACTACTGCACGTTTTCCTAATTAAGCAAGAGCAATTTTAGCGAAAGATACCAATCTCTTACTTGAAGAAAAATGTATCAAGAATTGCAAGGTGACACTTTTCTTTGTAGTGGCTTCTTGCTGCTGAAACGTGCAAAAACCGGTCGGAGAAAGAAAACAATGAATGGAAAAGTATAAGAAAAAAGCAATGTCAAGGATATCGAGCATACGCAGTCCCGATGGATCATCGTACTGGAGAACTGGTTTGATGAGTCATACGAACGTCACGTGACACGTGACGACGTCTTCCTTTCGTACTTCTCGCCCCTTAGTCCGAAGCTGATTTCGCCGAGATAAGATGAAAATTACGTTTTTTGTATAATTAAGCTTTCTATACCTGCAATATATTCCCTCAATTGCTTGAAACTCTGAGCAACGATTTCCGGCGTCTCTCGCAGTTCTTTCTTGGCTTTTTCAATAAAGAAATCATCGAGATCGGTTATTTCAATGGAAAGTTGATGTTCTCCAAACTTGATCTTCGGAGCGTTTATCTGCCAGTGTTGAAACATTTTTTCCTTAGCCGCGAGCATCGGCGATTTGACGGTCTCCTCCATCATGGAAGCCGCCATTCAGCTGAACAATAGATATCTGTCGGGCAATAGTGACAACCGAATTATCTCCTGCTTTTGAAAATAAGCAGAATTGAAATATGATCTTTTGTTAAAGCATATCGCGTAACACGTTTTATAAGCCTCGTAAAAAAGAAATAATCCGTAATCCAACGAATAACGAAAGTGAACTTTGAAAGTAAAAATAAATCGTAGGCAGGACCAGATTTCGTGTATTCCGTTTCCTGAATCCATCTACATATTTATCAGAATCAGCTGTATTACGGAAGCAGATACGTGCTTGCAGATATGTGTATGCGTGCGTATGCGTACGTAGAACAAGTTTCGTGTCGACCAACATGAAGCTGAATATCAAACATCAAGCGCGTTTGCGCTGTGTACTGCGAGAGAATTTCACGATGAGATAATGTTCAACAGAGATTCTCAAATCTTTCCTTCCTTTTTGATGCTTATAAAATTACTCTCTAAAGTTTAAAGAAATAAAAGATTTTATTCATTATTTAAAAAACAGTACAGTACAAAAATTTATGTGTGGATTTTAATTAATAACAAGTTTGTTTAAAATGTATACAAAAATTACTTTTGATGCAGTTAAAAAAGTTAAGGTATATTAATGATTTTCAACCATAAATTAATTTCCCTATCTATAATAAAAGTCTGATCTTTTTTTAGAAAAGAATAATCTCTCTCAAAATATTTTGTTTATCACGTCTTGCAATGTTGTATACAGCGTATGAAGCGTAAATTATTAGAGACAATTATAATCGTTTCAAATTATAGGCGTTTCAATTAGGCTTTATTCTCCTGCTAGAATAAACTTTCTTAAGAGATAATAGTAATTTTAGAGCTATTAAATAGTGTGTAAACTATTATTACATTGTATTCATTTGTATCTATTTACTTTGGGATATTGCGAAAATATTAAACTGCTCGTTTTACTTAACATTTTTATTTCGCAAAATAAGATAATCTCACATCTTAATTTTCTTGATGATTCATAAAACAGATGTTCCTTGTGTAATACCTAACCTAATCTAACGAATTAGAAAAAAAATGATTATTTCGCAAAATGCAAACATTTCCTGAGAAATATCTTTGTTCATTATTTTGTTTCGCTGTGTCAGCAAACTTAATACATAAACGTTAATTCGTATAAGCATCAAAAATGTAAAAAATTCTGAAATCTTTTTACTTCATGTTAAATTATGTATCACATATTATATTACAAATATATGCTTAATGTATGTGTTGTAAATATTTATAAGAAAAAAATATGTTTTTTGTTATAAAATAAAATTAGCACATTGTACATTTTTTACAAAACAAATTTTTCCATGAAATGATAATGAAGATATAATTAATATTTACGTGGAATTATGTTACATAGAAATATGTTATATAAAAAAAAATAGCTTTCTATTGAAATAAATTTGTTTTATTGATCAACACACACACACACACGCACGCGCACACACACACACACACACACACACACACACACACACACACACACACACACACACACATATTGATAATATTATTGTTCATTATTTACAATTTGTTATATAAGCTATTAATAAAACTGTCTATGTAAGCTTAAGATTGGGTCCAAAAGATATTAATATTAAACTGTCAAAAAATCTCTTTCTAAAATGGAAATCATAAGATCTTTGCTCTGCGTATAACGCAACTAGTTTAAACATAAATTTTATATGTATACTTTTACAATGATATGCTAATGAAATTTGTCAATTGTTTCACACGGTATAATTATCTCAGTGTTGAATGAAACGTCTAAAACGCAATAATTAAAATACAATGAAATACTTACGTAAACATTACTAACTAGATACATATCATTAATATTTTGATAAACAGGATTTGAAATATCCTATAATATATAGTGAATAAGTTTTTTTGAAATAATTTCGATATATTACATATAAATTCTCTATATTTTATTATTATAAATAACACTACTGATAAACAATATTAGCTACATTAAAATCTTTGAAAGGTTGCACCGCTCTATAAAATATACTTATAATTAGATAAATAATTAACTACATATATCTTTTCTAATTCATTAAGTGGTAAATGCATAATATAATTATATTACCTTTAACAAATAATAAATATCTGAGCAATACGTTTTAATAAAATATTTTTAGAATAAAGCATATTTAATTATTAAAATTAAATTAAACTCATTTAATTATTAAAATGAGCAAATAAAAGAAGTAAAGAAAAATATAGAAATTACAAATAAAAGAACAAAATAGGTTTTAAATTTCTCGATATACACATGTTTACGTTACTTATTATGAATATTCGTATAACAACTCAAACAGAAATTATCAATAAGACACAACATGCAAAGGAATGTAAATCCTCGTTACAATTACCTTAGCAATCTTACACAAATCTCGAAGATTGAAGATTTGATTATGCATCAATTTTCAGTACACACGCCTTTGAAATTTGTTCTCTAAATAATGTCACTTGTCACAGAAACTGTCTACTTCTCATCACTAAAATCTCAGCGAGATCTATTCGAATACTAATAACGTTCAGATATCATCGAAGGAGCTTCAGCGCCTATGACTGTGGACCGAACGTCAGTTTCACCAGTCTTTTTCTCTCCCTCGATTCACGGAGAATGATACGCGAAAGGTAGGAAAAGGTGGAAAGACCTGAGAGGGTCAGCACCGAGATGCATGAACTGCCAATGAGAACTACGTTCGGACAACCCAGTCAGAATTGCTCGGTAGCCTCAGTCTTCCCCACTTTTACATGAGCGTGACATCGTAGAATATACAATTATTCGAAATGACGCTACCATTGTTATGTGTGCTTGCATTGAAAAAAATTTTGTTATTTAAATAACGAGGAAAAATATGAGCAAAATTATATCACTCGTATATTTTCATACTATTAAAAATTTTATAGAACCGAGTGTGCATTACAGATTCGAAAATTAGTATTATTACTAAGTTGCTTTGAAATTAGATCATCTAAGCTTTAAATTTCAAGCAATTAAATAATTAAAACATATATTTAACTTACAGCATTTGGAGGCAACAATTCAGTCATTAAGGGAAATGTTTAAAAATAGAAAATCTGTTGCAAATAAAAATAATATTATATTTCTTTTCTCGCTCATAATGCATTTCTCTGCTATTTTATCTGAATAGTTTTGAACAATTTATATTTATTTCTAAGCACAAAGAAAGATCCGACGAATTTAAGTCTGATATTTGGGCTATTTAGATTGGGATATTTAGAAATAATGAAGCAAATATGAATTGTGAATTAAAGGAACATTTTTGAGAATAGCATATATGGAATTATATCTAATAGTTTATTATCGAATTGTGTGATACAATAAAAAAATTGCGTAGTACATCTATTGTATATTGTACATAACAAAAAAGCTAATAGAATATTGATAGAGGTCTAAGCCACATCGGGAATTTTTATTAGCGAATATTTATTAGCGAACTTTCTGTTCTGGAACTTAAGTGATATTCCAACATTTAAATAGCTAAAATTACAAATATTTTAACTATAAAATATAAAGATTAAATCGTACGTGTCTACTACATAAGAGTGAGTTATAATTAAAAAATATATATTTTTAAGAGATTGTATATTTAAAATACATTTCTTCTTTCTGATAGTTCCATAATATTATGAAAAATACTCTTTTGATTGAGAAATCACAACGCTATGTTGTTGATTTTTTTTATTACAAAAATGTCGACGTCTGAAATTAGATTTTAAATAATCCAAATATATGTGTAGTAATTACATAGTGTCAAATCTAAATAAGAGATGAGGTAAATCTAAAAATTCAATTTTTAACTCTTCTGTGTTACTATGACTGTATGAAGTTAGACATTATCCTGCAAGATAAATACTTATTCGATCAAAAAATCCCGATGTTTTATTTGTTATGTGATTTACTATGCATCTGTATGTCTGTGGAATCCAATATCAAAGAATATCATTTTCATATTAACAAAGATGTAAAAGCATGACGCATTGCTTATGTGATTTCTTAGCTAAAAGAATTTTTTTTCATGATATTGCAAAATTATCAGATAAAAAAAGTCTTTTTAAAAAAAAGCGATATTATAAAAAGAGTATATTAAAAATAAAATATTTTACATTTTTCTATTTTAAATATAGAAAAATTGTTTTTTAAAAACAGTTTTTTAAAAGTACTTTTTGATTCACTTTTATGATAATATGGGAATTTATAAATTCCATTTTTATAAATATACAGCCAAAAAAGTAGAGCGTGTTTATACGATATACTGGTTATGCAAATAAAACACAAGGATTACATAATTTATCTAACATGTTGATTAAACAAAACAGCAAAATTAGCAAAGTAAACTTCTTTAATGTAGAAATATGTTGCTTGCTATAAAAAAAATAGAGTATGTTATAATATAAAAAAATATGTATGTATAATATATGTTATAATATAAAATTATTTTTGTTTTATTTTAAAATAATAAAACTTAAGATTTTATTATATTTATAATAAATAAAAATTTGACTTAATGTAAAATAATAAGATTCCACAAAATTTTAGATATAATAAAATTATTAACAAAATGAAGAAATCCGTCTTACAGAAATAATCTTAATAATATTATATATTAATAATATGTGTATTGTATTTAAAATTCAAAGTAATTACTTTTGTAATATAATAAATTATTAAATTATTAAATTATAATATAAACAAGCATTGTCGTCACAAGACTTGTCAGTTACAAAAGATTGTATTATACAAATATATGTTATACAAGAAGCTATTATATTAGTTTGAACAATTTATAATTCTGATAAATATGTAATAAAATTAAACATTAAGAATAAAGAAACTGTTAAAAATTTTCGGCATTTGACTTTTCAGCATCTATTTCTTTTTACGCAAATAATAAAGTGAAATCTATTAAGAGGTTGTACTTAACATTATTTTTAGATTTCTTTGTTAATTCAATATTACATTAATTCAATATTACAGATAGTAAAAGTTTATCGTTCTTAACTTATAAATATAAATTTATGATTAAAGAATTATTATTAGATAAATTAGACAAATCCAAATTAAATCTATTATTGCATTAATAATTATTTAAAAAAATAAACGTGTTATTAATATAATAGTGTTTATTTTCGTACAGATAGAAATATAAAAAGTTTAATCTTAAAATGTAAGTTTTGTTTCAACTAAAAATATAATATCATATTAAAATAATAATCAATATTATATTTTCAGCTGTAGTATAAAATCTCATTTCACGACTGAATAGCAATCGTTGCGTGATATAAAATCATTATAATGGAATGTATAAAATTTACGAAAAAATTATTAGACAAAAAATTCCGATGATTAAAATGTCAAATGATAGTTATTTAAAAAAACTCTTTGTTTTTTAATTATTATATTATTATATTAAACTTAAAAATAGAGTGAATTTTTTGTAAATGCAGCAAATAAGAAAGTCTGTAAAATTTCGAAACAAAGTAGGCTATCTGTTACGCTTGACACTCACTCGATAATTCAGTAATAAGAACACTATTAATCTTTCTTTATATATTAAAATTTATATTAGTATATATTACATCATACCGTAATTGTAGTATATTATTACATGAAATAGATTACACAACATCTTATATAAAAAGCATACTTTAGAAACTGGCGCAAACGCAATTTAAAATAAAAATTAAAAATATAAAATTTATATGTTTATATGTTAATAAATTAAAAATTTTATTAAAATTTTACATATTTGTATATCAACAGATTTCTAATTACTTTCAGAATTGTTAAGTTATAATTCAATCAATTTTTATTATTGATAAAATTGCAAATACAATTTTTATTTATAAAAAAATTTTTTATATATAAAATACGTACATATGTCTATATGTACATATGTCCATTACATTTACAATATCATGTACAAAATATATTAAATTGTCCATAATCCAAACTTTATTTGCAAATTATAAAAAATATTTAACATCTATAAAGATAACTATTTAATAAAAATTTTGCTTCTTAATTCTTGCGACGTCCATAAGTGTTCCATTCTGTAAAACAAACAAATAAACAAGTTATAACTTAATTTTTTATATATATATATATAAAACACATATGCGTATATATAAATTTTAAAATAAATTAATTGTATGTATATGAGTATATAAGATATACACATATTCAAATTATTAATATTTTATCATTTTTCTATTTATTTGAAATAAATTGTAATGAATGATTTAATATTTTCAGAAACAAAATTTTGATAAAAAGTTAACTGTACTAACTTTACTAATAATATTACTAATAACACAGTACTGATAATTTTTCTTATCAGTATTTATTGAATAATTCATTATTCTTATATAAGAAGCTAAACATTTTATTTTTGAAAAAATAAAAACTTGTAAGTTAATTGTAGTTACTTGTAAAATAAGTACTTGCTAAATATCTTAATATATATGTGTTATATATGTTTCTTAATCTATTTTAGCTTTTCATTTTACGCGATGTTTTTCGTATAGCATACAAATATGTTTTAAAATGTGTATATGTAATATTCTTTCTTTATCGATTTATCTTTTACCTTTAATTTTATTTTCATAAGTAAGCATTAGTGGATACCAATCGGCACTGCTATAATCTATTTCTGGCAATTCACCATCGTAATTTTTCGGCAGATGACTCGGTGGAATGTAAGCATGTAGAGAAGACATTTTGGAGCCGTGGAAGAACATACGCTTTCTCAATTTTTCTCGAACAAATGGTTTGAACATTTGCCACACCATATTAAACAGAAACGGTTGCTTGACAAAATGAATCTAAAGAAAACATTAGATGCAATTAGAACATACAATATTTATACAATTAAAATATATATAATTTATCTTATGAATATTTGATCTACATATTAGAACTTCTTTTTCTCTAAAAATAATTTTGTGAAATATTTTTATTTATTATTATTAATGCAAACTCCTATTATTAATGCAAACCTCCTTTAAACGCAATGGCATTGCATCTTGAATAAAACTAAGAAGTCTCATGCTGAAAGATGGTGACAATCCCGTTACTTGTTTCATAGAGAGCCCGTCAAAATCCATTATCACCACGGTTCCGTATATCTGAGAAAAGAAATAAAAATATTTGTAATTATAAACAGTTAAGAAAATTATTTTACAATATTAATTAAAATTTTTAAGCTATCTTGTTTTGAAAATAACTTGATAATTTTATTTCTCTCTTTTACTTTTTGCCTCTTTCTCTTTCTTATTGATATTAAATTATTCATCAAATCACTATCAACTGAGCAAAGTGCAATCATATTTCGCGTTTATGTTCATTACAAATACATCTGACTTTATAGACTTAACTTTATTAAAATTGGAATAATTATTACTGATTTAATCAGTGTATATATAAAATAAAATTTTATAATTACAAATAAATTAATTATCTAAATTATTTTTCTAAAAAATTCTCTTTCTCTCTCTCTCTCTC